TCAGACTGTAAATAGGGAGTGTATATAGTGTGATACGGTGAGTGCTAGGTACGTGGGATTTTAGTTGGCAATGAGTTCAAGCAACAAATCCTTGGTGTCCTCTGGTGGAAGAGGCACCAATAAAAATAAATCACAACAACATGGTAAATCTGATCATCATCATCAAACTAAATCATCAGATTCGACTAAGCATGACAAGGCTCAGGTTGGTCCAAAACAAATTTATCTATATATTGACTTATTTATTACTGTGATAAATATGTTCAAAATGGATTACAGTCTCTACTACAATAATGTATATTCTCTTAAAAACTTTTAACCAAGTAATACATATAAAATAATATATATGGAAATGTGAGATTACCAATTACAAGTTAATTGTTTTTACTTAATCATGTCATCTCATTATGTTAATGTAATGTAAAATCTAAAATAAAAATAAAAATATTGATTCCTATAGAAGCAAATACATATTTTTAACATGCTAGATTATTTTATTTTTGATATAATATTTATTTTATCTATGAGACTAAAACACACATAAATAAGATATATAATATATATATTATATATAGATGTATAATATATATATATATATATATGTCTGTATATATATATACATATATATGTATACATATGTGTGTGTATATATATATAAATCGTATTGTGATAACATTGTAATATCGTTGTTTTAAAGAAAATTGTAACGATTGTTATATAGCAAAACACAAATCAAATGCGCAACGCGCAAATCATCGATACCAGAATGGCGGGAGGCGAAGACCCTATTCTGAAGGAACGCATTAAACAGGTCATGGATATGACTCGACGTTCGGAAGATGAGGTGATCATGGCTCTGCACGATAGTGATGGAGATTTGGACCGCGCTGTTAATGATCTTCTGGAAGGAGTGAAAACAGAATGGGAGGTTAAAAAGAAGAAGCCTCGTCAGCCTAGCGGTTCCAAGCAGACCACAGATCAGTCGGGCGGACAGGACGACAATGGCGATTGGGAAGAACGACGTAACCAACGTGGTGGTGGTCCTCCGCGTATGCGCGGCCGCGTTAATCATGATAATCGTGGATGTTAGTTTCCATTTTTTATTCATTTAGTCCCGGTTGCAACAATTTACTTTAAGCAAGACTTAAAACTATTTCATTTTAAAGCGAAGAGAGAAACAGAGATAATTTTAAGTCAGAGTAATGTCGATGCAACCGGGCTATAGGAATAGATATATACAATCTAAAATGATCTTTTTCTCCTTGTTAATTCTTATTGTGCAGCAAGATTACAAAAATTCCTACTTTCTTTTATGAATTGTAAAATTTTGTTTGGGTAGGGCGCGGACGAGAAAATAAGGAGAACGAGAGGAACATGGAAGATGGTATGCGCGATGGCAGCTATAGCAGAAGAGGTAGGGGTGGATCCGGAAGATCGGGTCGCGGATGTCGTAGCGGGGGCCGAGGTCTTGGTCCAAGAACATTCGCAAACCGCAACGATCCATCATCTGCCTCTGCTGCTCATGGTTTTAATCGGCCCATTGAAACCTGGACAGGTAGTGAGGAACAACAACAAAGTATTCAAGAACCAAAAATGGGTGAGTTTTAATCTGTACTTGAGTTCAAATGACAAAAATTATTTTTCTTCTACTAAACTGATCATTATATATGTATGTTATAGAAACGTTTTATTGATTTTACATTGTCAAATCATTTCTTTAATAAATTGATTTGCATTTTATACACACCCACACCAACACACACATATACACATACCCACACATAATTTTATACATATACATATACAGGGTATTTGGAAATTAGTGATAAGTCTTTCGCACAGGAACAGAATGGACTAAACTGAGAAGAAGAGTCCTCTACCATTTTGCAATTTTCGCAATAGTTAACAAGATATTAATTGTTAAAAATTGCCGAAAATTAGTCTTCAATAATTTTTTACTCAAATACTATCAACTTTACAGAAAAACTGTAAGAGACGAAAATTGTTTATTTTCTTCTTATAGAATTAAGAATTTTTTCAGAATTTTTTAATACCGTATTTTCTCATGTTGGTAAAAATAAAAAAATGCAGTGCTGTATATTGGCCCCCGCTATGACATCCGTGATCCGATCTTCCGGATCCATCCCTACCTCTTCTGCTATAGCTGCCATCACGCATACTATCTTCTATAAGATTCCTCTCGTTCTCCTTATTTTCTCGTCTGTGCCCTACCCATATCTCTTGCAGTTTGTAAAGTTGATAGTATTTGAGTAAAAAATTATTGAAGCAATTTTTAGCAATTAATATCTTATTAACTATTGTGAAAATTGCAAAATGATAAAGAACTTTTCTTCTCAGTTTAATCCATTCTGCTCCTGTGCGAAAGACTTATCACTAATTTCCTTGTATATAAAGCATTAGATCAACAACATTATGTACACACATATATACATATGTGTATGTACATACGTGTCGAACATATTACATCAAACATATTACAGCTATACGATAAACTGTATATATAGATGCTTGGAATAATTTGGACTCTACAGAAGACTGGGATAACGAGGAGTACACAGGATCTTTGGCAGATACCAAAGTCTTCACACCGAGCACGAACATCCTTGAACCTCCGCCTGTTCTGGAAGAACAAAAGCCCCAGGAAATATCCACGCAAACCAGTCAGGGGGTTAATTTGTCACTACTTCAACAGGAGGTAAAATTTTATCAGTACATAAATATTTTTAGATACATCTTCTTGCTCATATTCGAATAATTATATTTTTTACATTATTTATAGGAACTACCAAAATTGTCGGATATGTCTACAATGCAGCAGCAGAATTTAATACAACCTCAACAACAGCAAACCCAACAAGTATTGGGCTTGCCAACGATGCAACTATCACAACAACCTAGCGCTATTAGCGGCGTACTAACAGCGGCACAAACTCAATATCTGACGCAACTTACTCAGCAGACGAGTGAAAACTTGAAAGCAGCTGCACAAACGTCGTTTTCGTCATCTATGTCCAGTCAGGTATTGCTGTATTTTTATAAATTCTCAAAGTTGTACGCAATTAATCTTTTTTGCGTTGAACTATCTGAAATTTGAAATGATCAATGCGCTTATATTTACAGCCCCAAAGACAAATGAAACAACGTCCAAGAGTACCTCCACCATCAAAAATACCATCGAGTGCTGTGGAAATGCCTGGTGATGCGGTCAACAGTGGAATCGGTTTTCTCGATGTACAGTTTGGCGCGCTTGAATTCGGTAGCGATTCCAGCTCCATCGATGGTTCAGCAAATGAAAAATATAATTCCACAAATAATACAATCGCTGGTGTAGACATTTCTTCCGGTGCAAATACTGCGAACACTGCCAATACGAGTAATTCGCTCGACATCGAAACTACGCAGACTTCCACTACGCCCTTCAACGCCAGCTCACAGATGGTAAATTTTACTTTCATTAAATTGGTTTTTTTTGTTTGTAGTTATTTTTTGTTTTTATGTGTGTCTCTTTTGATATATCGGCTTATAATTATACTTTCAGTTACAGAGTACCGACACTTTACCAGCATCCAATGAGCATACGATTGGTTCCCAAGGTTTTACTCGTGGAAGCAGTAGTGGCCAAAGCTTGGATATAACCAAGCAAGATTTCACGTCGCAAGTCTCACCCGGAAACGCACCAACGTATGGTGGTACGACGACCTATCAGTCGTCGCAAAAATCATCTTTCCAGCCGTCGAGTGGTACGCCAAGCACCTACAATGCATATTCGACTAATAACCAGTCTCAGTCTAGCTTCCAAAATGCGTCAGGCGCTAACGCGAGTAGTTATTCCGCGACAGCAACAGTTTCACAGGCGAGTTACAACTCGTCAACATCGTTTCCGCAATCCAACACGTCGAATTTCAGTCAACCTTCTCCTTCCGCATCGGCGTCCGCGACTTCCGGTTATAATCAGCCCACTACTAGCAGTCAGGTATAATTCCATCATACCAAGAATGTCAGAGATACACGAGTATAGCTTCTACAAAAATTAAAACAATTTTTATTTGATAGGTTTATCCGTCCGCAAGCGGATATGTACCGGCTACAACATCACAATATCCAGCGCAGGCTACTAACACGGTATCAAACAGCAATGCGGGGTATCAAACTTATCAGCCTCAATATCAGTCTTCAATAGCAGTCACAACATTCACATCTCCAATAACGCAAAGTTCCGGTTACCAGAGTGCCACGCAGTCTGTTAGTATAAATTTTTGCTGTATCTTTTAGTATACCTTATACAGTTTGATAATATAAATTTATAAAATATTAATAGGTGTACGCGAATCCATACGGAAGTTATGCCAGCCAACCGCAGGCAGCGTCTCACAATCACAAATTGAACAGTACTGCGACGAAGGATTCACAGTATGATAGCAGTGCAACGACGTCAAATAATTCTCTCGCGACGACCAGTGCACCAACGTTGGGTCTCACCTCGACGTCTGTTAATAGTTCACAAACTAAAGTGACGAATTCCAACGGTTAGTAAATTTTCGTTTTTCTTGTTATTTGAAGTTTTCCTACGAACAAATACTCATTTATTTGTTATCTTAGGATTTGTTTTTATTTTAATTCTTTTATTACGATGGATATTTTACCACTCATGATTCCTATACTAGCTAAGAGTTAAATCTTTTTAAAAGATGATTGTTGTAGGACTGAGCGATTCAACATATTAAACAGAATAATTCGTTTTAACGAAAAGATATATTCTTTTTCCAGCGGTTCCAAAAAGTACGTCGAGTGGAGTAGTGACGGGTAGCAGTGGTACCGGCAATATGACAGGCGGTGGTGCGGCCGGAAGTATGACGCCGATGCTTAGTCATCCATATATCATGGGTCAAGCGGGTGTACCATATGCAGCTTTCCAGCAGCCCGTGTACAGCTACGAAGATATACAGCTTGTACAACAGAGAATACCACACATGGTCAGTCACTTTTCGATCTGGATTAGTTCATTTATTTCTCTATTCATTCAAATATAAATGGATTGCTCTCTGAGTAACGCTTCTTCGGGGCATTATACACTGAAACAATAATATGTTACAATTACACATTGCTATTACAATGTGTGTTTATACTGCTTCGAAGCGCTTACTCTATTTTATGTTATTATCTAGTACGAAAATTCCTGAGGTAATCGTTTCTTTATTGCTTGGTAGCTGCTCGTAATTCCAATATTCTTTCCGAAATGTTTCAAACTCCTATGGATGCCTTCACGACAACACCGTAAACTCGTTCTTATTTCTCTGTAGTAAGATGTTTCGTTATAAAATAATTATATTGGTAAAGACAGATCGGCTTTTCGATACTACTTCGTGTAAAAATGTCTTCTCGATGATGGAAAGCTGGGAAAAATATTCCTGAAATTTATTTAATATACTTTACGAAATTGTTTCGATCTCCGATCTATCTTGACTTATTTTTCTTCCTTCTTTGTCTTGATTGACTTAATTGTAGGCTGTGTATGAATGATGTCACGTATCTCAGATTATATAAAAAATATGCATTATATTTCCGTGTGGTAATATATACAGGGTGCGTCACTAAAATCCGAACAAATCGAACAATTTCTTTAAACAAAATGTTTTTAATGAAAAATTAAATATTAGAAAAAATCCTTTTATATGGAATTCCCCCACTTGGGGGATCCCTATAGAGCACAATTATTCGATATATCCCCCTTTAACTTGAATGATGGCCTCTATTTTCGGTCTGAAGCATTTGCACGTTGTAATGTAGCGCTGTCCATGCCGACGAATGCTGTCTCAATAGCGGTCCTTAATGACGTCACATTGGGATGCCGAGGTGAGCAACTCGGCTTGTCCTCGGAGAGCATCTGTCGTAATGTGTCTTTAATGTGTACGATTTGTATCGAAGGTCCTCGACAATTCGACGCATTGTTGGCTCACTTACACCAACAATCGATGCTAATTTTCGCAACAATTGTCCTGGGTCATCCGAAATCAGCGCTAGAGCCCTTTCAACTGCGGGGGTCCTCGCGGTGCATTCTTTCGGGTGACTCTTCCTCGCTGGCATACTGGAACCTTCGTTGGAATGTTCTAAAGCCGTATATTTTGCCACAACGTCATAAACGATTGATCTCGGATATCCAAAGATCCGAATTATTTCCATTGCTGAGCGCCCAGCGCGAAGGCCTTCGATGATCGCGGCTCTTCGATTATATTCCGCACTTGGTTTCAACATCGCCATTTTGAAAATATGACTGTTTGAAAATATGACTAGAATCATCAGGCTTTCTCAGACGCCAACAACACTCTCTGGCGGAGGAATTAATATTAATATAACGGAAAATTTAAATTGAAAATTGTTCGGATTTTGGTGACGCATCCTGTATATACAAATGGTTGATGGAGGTTTTACTATACTCTTTAGCTTGTTGTTTAACTCAAATATTTTTTATTATATAAACATGGGAAGCGTGTCGATAGCGGGAAGCGAATGTACTCGTATGTGTATTGCGACTTACGCGTAATTAGTAGCTCGTTCTATCGATTCAAGTCGGATGAGAGTACCTTGAGTACTTTTTACACATAGCAATAGATCCAAACAACCGCATGTTACTTGTCCCAGCTCGGTACGCGTAGAAATTAGTTAGCCTTCTCTTGTATTTGGAGTACACAGTGTATGCATGTAGTTTTGTGTTTGGCCTTCCTGACTAACGTGCAGCCAACTACTGGTTACTATGACGCGGCTCTGGGCTATCAGACGACTGGTCCGGCTACAAGTCTCGGTGGTGGCAGAGGTGATGCCCTATCTGGTGTGCAAGGCGTACAGGGTGTCCAAGGAGTCCAGGGAGCCTATACCAGTATTAGCGACGCCAGGTTTGCTAGAAACGACAGCAACGCATCGCCAGTTCCTTCCACTATGTCGCAGCAGGTGAGTTTCGTCGACCAGCTTAGAGTCGTCGCTAACAAAAATCGTGATGTCTAAAAATTTCAAATCTTATGGGATTTGCAGACCGCCACACAGCATCAACAGCCAATGATAAATCCTACTCTTCCTCCGGGATACGCATACGCATTTACTTACGGTAGTGGGATTATGCCGGGAGGTTTTCAATATGGAACTCCTGCTATTTATCCGGTAAGTTTTGTGCTTCCAACGAGTACTTTGTTGTTTGTGGCTCCTTCTGAAATGGACCAAAAAAATGCTAAGATCGAGCCAATTTGTACCATAGCAAATAGCAACGGCCGGTAACGCCGGAACGAATAGCGGCGCGTACAGCGCTAAATCTGGTAGCTATGGATCTGGTTATGGCGCCGGTGCGAGCTACGATGCGCTGGCTTCCGCTGGCCCGTCTGGAGAATATAAGGGGGCCGGTAGTAGTTACACCGGAACTCAAACTGGTAAAACTGGCACTTCCACGGGAAACACTAATACCGCTGGTTCTTCCGCAACAGATATCAGCGCTACAATGTACGCCAAGAGTCATGTCGCTCTTGGTAAAGTGAATGTAAGTAACACTACTCAAAAAAGTAATCGTCGTTAGAAACGTCTGTATGTGTTACACACGTATGTTCACTTAATCGATCCTTTTAGTCTTACGAAAAACAGACTTTCCACTCGGCTACGCCACCACCATTCGGTCTTACGGGTAGTCAAAATGCTGGCTTGCCCGGTGGTTACGGTGCCCCACACTTATTCATCCCGACTATACCACATCAGCTGCACCAGCCACTTCATCAGGATGGCGGCAACAGCGGCAACCAAAGGTCCAACACGAGTTCGCAGAACAAAGCTCAAGCGAAGCCTGGATATAGTCCTAGTTATTGGACCGGTAGCAACTAAACACAAAGAAAAACAAAAGACAAAGTTTCGAATGCGACACAAAGGAAGGACGAAGTAAGAATATAACATCCTACTAGTAGAATAAGAAATCGTCCTTTGTTGTGAAACGCGATTGTGTGACATAGAGACTTTGACGTTGTCAATAGTTAAAATGACGCATAAAATTGATAGACGAGAGACTTCACTTTTTTTCGAGAATAACACGAGTCAATGTGGAATGAAGAGTGAATACTTTTGAAAATTGAAAGGTATATGCAATTATTGACCGGATGCTTCCTTCACTGGTAAATCCCCCCCCCCCCCCCCCCCGCCCCTCCTGTGTATGCTGTGTACTACATTTACTTGTACTTGATAATTTATTTGTTCAGTTCAGCACACTCGCAAACTTCTCCAAGAGACTGGCGTAGAGCGCGATATCACAATAAAATAATTCCTTGCATTTTATGCGGTGATACATGTGCAAATCCTATATGTAATAATTTGCATATTCCTTCTTAACTGTGAATTGCACTCGTGCCAAATGAAATTGTAGCGTTTGTAACGCGATGGATTGCGAAAGACGGATTATCGTCTGTATAGATTCCATGAATTCTATGACGCGACTATGTCACAGAATTCATGATAAATCATCTGGTACGTCATAGAATATGACGAAGCCAGTATCGCGACCTTCTCGTATGATGCACCGGAAAAGAAACTAGAAGAATAACATCCGTCGAGTTCGCACTAGATCTCCCGTTTGTACATTACAGTGCAATTTCGAACGTATTATATTTGACTGCTAATTATAGGGTGATAATAGTGTGTCTTTATATTGTTCTCTTTTCTTTTTCTCGTGTATGTAAGCATCTTGGCTTAATAAATATGAAAAGCGCATCTTTATGAGGTAGCATAGAGCTGTTTCCGTAAAAGGGGCGAAAAATAAAGATGTACGCGTGAAACATACGCTTGTATAAATTTATTATTATCGCGTTTTGTAGCATTTTTATTTTTGGTTCGTCACAGCGACCTTGTGAAAAGTATAATTGTTGCACTCGCATAAATTTGGTTTAATCGCGTTACGCATCTTTGTGATTAGTGATGATTTTTATTATTCATTAATATGCATATATGACGTTTATTCCATATTATATTGAAATTATTGCATATAATCTCGGTTAAAAATGGAAAATATATGTGCGACTCGCATTATTTCTAAGTGTAGTTAAAAAAAAATCACATGCCACAAATATGTAGTAAAAATAGTGCTCTGTTCTTTTATTATTTTTATACCCGTCTTTACCTTTTGTCTTGCTTTCCGCACATTCTTATTATTAAATTAAATTTGAAACAAAATGATGTAGATCTTCATAAAATTGACAACGATTGCGTTTTACGTTTTATTTTATTAGAATCTCCTGAATTATGGATTATAAGAAGAGTATACTACGATTCAAATTAGTAATTTTATGTAAAAAAAATTTTGTTATACTTTTGTTCTTTATTCATTAATTTAGATCGGCACTTAGATGTCATAAGTCATTTAATTGATAAAAATTATGTTTGAAATCTTGTATATGATTACTGTCCAAGAAATTATTTGGAAAGTATTGACATATCTGAAAACGTTACGGATTATCATTTGGCATACTAGTGCATTTCTAGATATACCAAAAAGAAAATAGATAATTTTTTTCAAGAAAAGGATCGGTTCCCATCAGATTAACAAGTCCTGTATCTTTATTGTATCTCAAAGTTTTTGCAGAAAAAATGTCAATGACGTTATCAAATCAAAAGTTGCAATTTTTTCACAGTTTGCTCGAAAAATAGCCGCGTATTTGACTCTCGCTCATGATGCAGAGCATGTGATGCAGAGCACGTGATACACGTTTGAGAGATGACATGTGATGTTTTCCATTGCAAAAAAACAACCGTACACGTTCTTCGTTATCTAGTATACGCAGTAGAGACGAGTTAATTTGTTTAAGAAATCATAAATGATTAAAATGAAGATGAAACTTGATATGACCGATTATTGAGACGATTGAGCATATATAGTAACGATGTATGTGCAGTAACAGCGATATTTATCTATCTTTTTCATTATGAGATTGTAATAAAAAAACAAACAAACAAAGAAAGAAAGGAAGAAAGAAAGAAAGAAAGAAAGAAAGAAAGAAAGAAAGAAAGAAAGAAAGAAAGAAAGAAAGAAAAGAAGCCATTATCGATTCCGTCTGGTGTACACATTCGTTAATATTACATTATTCATGCTGATTAGAAGTGCGCGAACTGTATAGCTATATACATATTAATCGGAACGAAATAATACACATATATTGACCAACAATGAAACACATATTTTGAAGATATACTTTACATTTTTGCATTGTGAATAAAATGAATGATCGCAGATATTTCTCTGATGAAAGAGAGAGAGAGAAAAAGAGAGTGAGAGAAAGAGAGCGAGAGAAAAAGAACGAAAATAAGTTCAAAACAAATACGTCGAACGAACGAGAGAGATAAATGTATGTGAATCGTTTTTCACAAAAGTGCTGTGAGAATTGTTACGACTTGCGTGTACGATAAACGTGAGGAATAATGTTTCTTCTAGCACGAATACTATGGACCGATGAGTCCGATGGTCGACAAAGCTTTATCGCTAATATAAAAGCGAGAGGTAAATAGTTGTAAGTAAACTCTTGTTAGCGACTGCATATATATACATATATAAATATATAAATACATAAACTCGTATATATATAAATATGAAGACCAAATGTAGATTAGCTTCCTTTTTTTTCGGAGAAAAGTGTAAATCTGTACTCATATAAATTCTCGAAAGAAAGAAAAAGAAGAAAAAATTGAATTACTTTGACTTCGCTATGGTCCCGCGAACGTGGACTATTATAGCCACTTTATTACGAGTTAAAATACGCGTTCAAATGTACACGCAGTCGGCATCAACGAAGGAGCAATTGATGAACGACTGGGAGAATCAAGTAACGTTTTCGTTCTATCTTAGTGTATGTTTTATAGTCGACTCTCAGACTTCGTGTATACTCGAATCAACTTAGGACAAAAGAAATGTAATGTATAATGGAAAGTGATGGGAAAAGATGCAAAATATTATGGGGGAAGCATTAAAAATAAAGAAAAAAAAGAAAAAGAGAGGGATAAGATTCAGAGTTAAGCACGTTTGTTCTCATATAATTATACATTAATAATTTTTGTATTTTTGTCAAATATTAACCGAGCGAGAGATAATGCACGATATATGCATTACTCAACTATTGCTATTATATGATTAATAATAATAATAATAGCTACTACTGTGTATAAATATGGATATATAAGAATAAATGTATTAAAGAAGTCTGGCGATTTACATATCCGTGGTGCAAATGTTTGTATTATGTTCCCGTACGTTTAACGTGTTCCTCAATTTCTTTAAAACAACTTTATTCCAATGACACAAAATTTCTTTACTTATAAATTGCAGTAAAAATTACTTTATCTGCGAAATATCTATTGTGCTTATTTTGAAATTCGCGGTCCGCTCGAATCGATTGATCGATTCAAGGATGAAGAGTTTGAACATGGCTGAAAGTCGAAGAAGCGTTGGAGGATATAACCTTGCGAAATAAAAATGGAAGGAATTGTCGATACAAGTGATTAATATTGTTAATAAATTAATATCTTTTGGGAAAAGTGGAGAAAGTTGGAACAACTCAAACGATGGCTGTTAAAACAATCGAGGAGAAAGATAGGGAAATTAGGAGTAAGAAGTCGCTGACTAAAGAAGTTACGCGATGAGCGCGTTTACGATCGATTTGTTAATTTAAAATTTAATCTTGAATAGTGGAAACGAAAAAAAGTAGCGTGTTTTCGGTTTTATTTGATTTGATTTTCTTTGTGACTTTATATACATTTCTTGCGAATATATGCAGTTTTAAGCTACACGCACAAATAACATCGTGTAGTTAATAGAAAAAAGGTTTGTATCTCTTGAAATGCTTTTGTGAAATATTGCAAAACATTACGCATACATCGATGACAGAAGTACAAATCAGTAACGTCGAGGCTGGCACATCGCGGAAGATGGCTACAACATGGCATCAACAGGTGTTTGCACTCGATGCAAAGTATAATACACTACGGGCTAATAAGCTCCCCAATCTGGGTATGTTTAATGTTTTTACTTACATTACTTTAATCAGTCGAGTTAATTTTCATTACGTTTGAATTCTCCTGCTCTAGGTATGTTGTACATTCGTCGAAGAAATCAACTGCTTCGGGAGAAATTTTCTACTGACCCAGAGATTGGCGCACGATATTTGAAATTACGATCAGAACTATTACGGCGACGTTATGGAGAAAGGTTGGAGCAAAACAGTATGGGAAGTCGTACTATAAGTGAAGAATCGTCGGAAAATAGAACGAGACATCAGCACGTACAACGGAAATCAACAGCAGAGAACTTTGCATTCGCTGGAGTCCATCATGTTTTCGATCAGCACAAGGCGGCTATAACAATGCTCAAGTTTGCCAATAATGATAGATCCAAATTATGTTGCGCATCGCTGGACGGTACATTGTCAATATGTGAAGTCGTTAGCACACCTCCGAAGGTGATTGCTCTTTTGGAGGGTCATCGTAATGGTGTAACTGCACTTGATTGGAGTATCAGCAACGATCTGATTGTTTCTTCCTCTTTGGACGCGACAATAAGGCTGTGGAGAATATGCACGGATGTAGATCCGGTTTGTTTGCGAGTAGTGGACGATCAACAGCGAGCGGAAGTCCTCTGCTGCAATTTCATACCTGCCAATAATAATTTAATAGTAGCTGGCAATTCTCAAGGATTGATCCAGATCTTGAATGTATCTACCGGCATATATACGCGCGGTGGATCCTGCAAAATTGGCGGAAAGGTCAGTTTTATCTCGAGAGAAAAAGAGCAACATTTAAAAAGCAAGCGTATAATTGCTATGTCGCGTTTCTAGATTCTTTCCTTGGCATGCGAGGGTAGCGGTGGTTCGGTGATCTGGGCAGGCAATGACAGAGGCGTTATAGTGGCTTTTCGACTAGAAACTGGCATAGGACGATTGACCAAATTGCGAAGAGTGCAGGAGATTGGTGGAATGATAACCAGTCTTTCCTGGCGTTCTTGGCTATCAAAGGATGCTCCTTGGGCTGCTCTGTTAATAAGCAGCGCGTGCAACGCTGTACTATTATATCGTGTTGCAAATAATCACGGTTCTTTATACTTTTGGAGAAAGTATCCTATCAAACATAGGTATTATTTCATCATGTAAAAAAAAACTTCGCGTTTTTTTGCTTACGATATAACACTATATATTTGCGTGTATCTTTTTTGTAGACTATATCCCTTGAGGTCTACTTTCTGTCCACAAATGGGTGCATGCTTAATAGCCACGGGATCGGAAGCTGGTGCCATTCATTTGTTAGATTCAGCGAGAGAGGGAAAGGCCGCTAGGATCAATCGACTGCACGGCCATGCAACACCTGCATTAGCTTTATCCTTTAATTATGACGAATCTTTACTCGCCTCTGCAGATCATGATGGATTGATTATCCTATGGCGTAATCATCAACGTAATTTATAAAATATTGTGAAGAATTTCATCAAACTAAAAAAATTGCTCGCATTCAGATTCTTCGGGTTTTAAAACAAATTAGGACATAATAAATATGTCGGTGTAAGAAATGATGTATAAATGTATAAATTTATCTAAGATATCTAGAATAAGATTTTACTATTACATATACATTTGTACATATAATAAAACGTGCATATTTTAATAAAAATAAAAGTATTGTATATAAAAAATTAGGATATTTAAAGATGGTTTTTGATGGAATAAACTAGTATCTTCTGTATAACAATATATTAATTGTTCTCTATTTTAGCTTATGTCATAGTGAGCACAAAGCAGTATCAATAATAATAGATGTAATAGCGAGAAACGTCTGACAGCACTCACGGTGTTATGGTAGCAGCGATTTGTTTGTATTTCTTCTCAATATCGTATGCATTTGTGAAACGTCAGTGGCACAAATTCCCACACGGTTTTCTTATGATACTAAACTATTTGCATTTCGATACTGTTTCATTGATTCGTTCTAATTACAACAGTCTCTTTATGTTCCAAGATGAATAATTATACAATTATACAGAGATACATTATTGGAAACAAATATTTGTAAAAATTTCTCTAAAACAGCATTTGCGATCGTACTTATATCGAGTTTCCGCGAATATTTTAGATTTATAGAATATCCTTTACACACAATGTATCATATTGAACTTATTAACAGTTATTTGTTTGTATTGCACACTTTTATATGTATCGTGAAGCAAATATACCGTAAACGCACAAAGTTATCTGTTAGCATAAAGATAAATATCTGAGATTTCTGTTCGAGATTTCTATTATATTATTACAGAGAAGGCAAAATTTTCTATAACATAATCGCTTTTTTTTTGTTATCACGCATTCATTAAAACAAACTGGCTTGAAAGATTCTCGCTTTAGTACAATATATGCGAATTTCCAATTTAAACATATTCGATAATGCAAGAGCTCTTGTCTTGTTTCTCATTCAATATAATATAATGGTTTTAAATCCAATATAAAACATATCAATGTACGTACTATATTCTTCTCATCACAGATCTATAATAAAAGTAAAAGTCTATCAATATATCGTGTATATATCATATAGAAAATTAGTCGTGCAAGTATTTTCGTATTTTTCCTTTGCTACCTTGAATCTTTAAAAGTGGGATGGCAGTCCCGTATACTTTACTATATAATACTTTGATAGTGTAGAGAGCAGATTTGTTAATAATATAATTAATATCAAGAAATATGACAATGAGTGTTGGCAGAGAAGAACAAGATGACATGAAAGACGGTTATATATCGAGTTTCTTATAGAGGAGTCACAAAAATAATTGTTCTACATAGGCACTACTGCTCGTTTAACAATTACATTATAAATAATAATTATTTACACGCGCAACGAATTGTTCATCGTAATTCGATGTAGCTTCTACAAATCGATTGTCTAGAATTAATACTCATATGTCCACATTTTATACAGCTCCTCCGTTGTTACTTACTTTGTTCTTTGACTATAAACCGTCATACGAATAAGCTTTATTAATAATATAAAGCCGCGACTATCTATATATTGACACGTTTTTCCATATTTGTTACAGAACAATCATAACAACTTCGCTAACAAGATCCATATTACAACCGATCGATTTGTATAGCCTCGAGTAATATTGGCTACATCTTTCTTATATACATTTGTTCGAGATTCGTAGTAATAGTGTCGTAGTAATAATCTCATTGGTGATAATCCATCAGATCGTGTGTGCGCTAACAAAGAGAATCACCACATTTTCACGACGAGATTATTTCGGACGGATTTGTGTATACTAAACTGTCCTAAAATTCCATTACAGACTTTAGTCTCATTTTAATCACGAGCTAAAACACTGCACTTCTCGGTGGGCTCCAGCGTCTCTTGACTATCACACTGAGAAATTCTTGTAGAAGATGAATCGACCTGAACATCTTCATGAGGCACCTTTGGTAATGTGTCATTTATTGAACTCGATACAATATATTGGTCCTGCGTGACTTTCTCTAAGAGTTCCGGTTCGTGATTCTCTTTAATATCTAATTGCTCTTCTTCGAGCGATTGTCTCGCAGGAACAAACGGGGCGGACGGTATTCCATTCGATGATACCAAGTTTAATTTCAAACGATCTCTAGTGTGTCTTAACTCTCCTAACTGATGCTGCTGACCTTGGTCATATTCATGCGCAAAATCAACGTTATTCTGATGCGGCTCTTGTCGGCAACTATCTGTTTCATCTCGATCGTCAGAAAATGAAGTCGCGTTTGCACCAGGAAAAAATTGGCTGACGTATTTACTTTCACCAGTTTGAAACTGAAACGGTCGATTTGAACTAGATACAAAAAATTCTTCGTTTCCTGTAACAAAAGTAAACGCCATCTTGCATTACAGAAATTGAAAAAAAAATGCGATATATTGTATAAAAGCCTTGGTAAATTCATACATACCAACATGATTGGTATCATCATAATCTAAAGGATATAGATCTAATCGTGGTTCATTCATCATTTCTTCCCAATCTAAAATGTAAAGAATAACAAATGAATCGTTTATTTTTATTCGAGTTCAGACATTTGTTTTCCTAATGTTCAACTTTTAAGAGAAATATTTTTCATAGATACAAAATATTTATCGATCGTAAAAAGTATACCAGAATATGACGTTGGTTCCGAGTTGGTAACAGTATCCCCTTGACTGTCCGCTGGTAACGTTTCCTTTGGGTACTCGTACACGCATTGATAGCGTTGTTTCTTGAACCACACGCTCTTCTTCTGATCCTAGACAAATCATGCATTGTCAATTTGATCGTAGGGAAATATATGCTTATATTTATATTTAGCATGTCTAGTGTGTACATTCATGAAAAGTACGTACGGGAGAGGAATGTTAAAACTACATGCATTGCTCTGTACTTAAGTAATCGACACACCTACCAACTCATCCTGGCGGCGATCAAAAGAATGAGAAGAATATCATTAATGATCACTGATTGTGATACAAGGATATGAGTGCGAATAATTTTATATATGTAATATTTATTATTTATATGGTATTTACTCCTGATTTTAACGTTTTGTCCGGAGACCTCAGTGCCGATCGATGTGGTGCTAAAGCAGCATTCCAGGCAGAAGGTGTGAATTCTTCTTCCTCCTCTTCGTCCTCGACAGCTAATTCTTCCTCTAATTCGGCACTCGTCGCTGTGTTCGTTTTATCGTTATTCACAGTACTTCTGATTCGTATCTGCTCGATGTGTAGCTCGTTATACCTCTATAAAATATAAATTTTGATCGAGATTGGAAAAAAAAACAATAAGAGATACTTAGTGCCATATTATTTTTGAAATGATATACCTTCCACACAAATTCACCGGAGCTAGAACTGTTATCCTCATCTTCTTCTCCATCTTCATCTTCTTCCTCTTCCACTTCTTCTTCCTCTTCCTCTTCCTCCTCCTCCTCTTCGTCTTCATCTTGACTACAGCATTCGCGTTCGGTGACAAAACTCGTCGACATCAAATCATCTTGCAACGGTAAAGGTAGTGGAAAAGAAGGTAACTGTTGCCATTTGGATTCTTCCTCAGGACTTGGTAACGGCGCACCTCCATTCGTTTTCACAATATGCGACTTATCCTCTAACGGACGTGCTACTGAACAAGTGTAATCTAAATTTTCCTCCTCGGACAAATCACCATTCGTCGTATCTCGATCTTCATCCTGTAATCGTCCCTCCAACAATATCATTTCATTCGTACGAGTATCCACCAACAGCATATCTTCGGACGGCACCGATTCTCTCGAAGCGACGGACGTTTCTCTAGAATTCGACACTAAAGATTCGGAGGTGACGGTACTTTCTCGCTCTTCTAGGATAGGGCTAAGCGGTGTTCCATATACATTGTACCTGGACGTAATAGAAAAAAAAATTCACTAATAAATAGAAAGTTAGTTATATTAATAAATAGAAAAAAATTACTATTTAATTCTTTGTTAGATAATCTACTTTCAAAGATCCCACTACCTGATCGAAATGTCTACACCTCCGCTAATTTGATTAGCTAAATCATCGCCATCTTCATCGTCCCACTGTTTGCCATATGCGTCGTCAGAAATGGAAGAATTTTCATCATCGTGTGCTTCCAAGGATTCCACGATTTGCATCTGAGCTTGAGGCAACTTTTCCCTGAGTTCGTTACGAATCGCCGTTACGAATTCTTCCTCCATACTGAACGACACGTATGAGTTGTCGCTACGTAAACTCACCGTTGAACTGTCCTCATCCTCATTTTCGTAATCTCCCAATGAGCACTCACCTCGCTGAGTATTGAGGGCGTCCAATTTTAAGGCGTGTGTCTCCACTTCTGAATAGTGTGATTGACGGATATCACTATCGGTTTTAAATACCTGCATTTTTTCAGGAGTTACGTACTTATTTTTCGTTTCGATGTCTTCTATCGTACTTTCATATTTCACCCGATTCGAACTCTGCTTTGTATCGTTCAAGTGAGTCGAATCGGAATTGGTAACGTCAACTTTAACAGAAATATGATTTAAGTCAAAAGTACTTTGTTTCGAAGGCGAATATATATTTTTCTCGATGTCGGATGTGGAAGTTACATCTTCCGTTATACTTTCAGGACCAGCGGGAGTAGTGTAATATTCCGCGTCAAGAATAGTGTCTAGCTCAAATAAAATTTGGAATGGCTCTTCTTCGGAATATGACGATCTGGAAACTGCAATGCTATTTACTGAAGACAGAGGATTGCCGGATGAACAAACTGCTTCCTCTTCCTCGCAAGATTCTTTATCTCGAAAACCGGAATCAGAACTTTGTTCGTCATCCGGCGTGGATAATTGCTTTCTCTCCTCTTCGTCATCATTTGGCAATGGTTTTCGTTCTATTTCCGCATTTTCTACAATAGAAAAACTATCGTCAGTGGTATAAATTGGATAGGTGTTACAAAACTGTGGTGCATCTGGCGTAGACATAGTCAGTTCTGGCGCACTAGTATTACTTTGTTCAGTCGATGTGTTTATGTATTCGTTGAATTCTGCTTCATCCGAGAAGCCTGGTACTTTGTGTTGTAAAGCGGAATCTAATGCGTGATTCCAAAGTAAAACGTCTACTGTATTGGTCTCAGCATCTTTCACATTAGGAATATCGTCACTGTCCCCTTTATTGACGAGGGGTATATCGTGTATCTCATGGTCCTCCTTCTGTTCTACTTCTTCATCGGAAAATGTTTGATCAGGTACATAGCGAAGAAGGGGGACGTCCGAATCCCCATTTGACAAGAGTCTTAATACATGTTTTTCACTGCCGCGCTGCTTACTACTCACGCTTGCATTAGATTGCGCAATATTGTTATTTTCCGGAGTTTTTCTCGTACTGTCCAAAGAGAGACGTAAGATCGGCATCTGACTTTGATCTGTAGTCAAAGTTAAAACCTTTGGCTGTTGTATATTTTCTACAGACCAGATTTTATTGGTAGTGTTACTCGGTAAAGGATCTCGTAACTTCTTCAATGCTTCATCAAACTCATCCGCAGGCACGGTATGTCTAAGGTCGCTGTCGCTACCGGTCACAGATAACTTCTTTTTAACGTTCTTCTCTGACGTTTGCGCTCCCATTGACCATTCTGCGTCGGAATCAGGATCGATATGTACAAGCACCATAAGATCTGTTACAGACTTGGACTTTTGTTTGACTTTTTCAGTATATACACCCTGCTCGATTCGACCCTTCCAGCTTTCTTCCTCGGTTTCCGAGCCAGATTCTTGAAATATCATGGTAGTCTTCATTTTGGGGATATTCCTCACTTGTTCGTCAGGTCCAAGACGAAACGAAGACTGTAATGAGTCTGTCATTTGTGCGTCATCCACGATATGAGTCCAGTAATCGGAATCGATACTACCACGTAGATCTTGTAAGCTAGCACTGCGTACATGCTGTTTGCAAGTATTCGCGCGTAAACTCTCCCATCGTTGCTCAAAATCTATGTGTGCCGATTGTTCATTCAGGAGAATTAGCTTTACATCGTCCAAGGAAGGTCTGTCTTTCGCATTGACATTTAAACACAAGCGAATCATTTGAAATATATTTGGCGGACAATTAGTGAGATAATTTTGCAGCAGTTTCGTGCCGTTTGGCACAAATTGATTTTTCAGAGATAGAATTATCTGAATAACCTGTTCGTCGTTCATATCGTTGTAAGGTCTTTCTCCCCAACTAGTGATCTCCCAAAGGAGAATCGCGTAACTCCACATATTGGCTTGTAACGTGATCTCTTGCGTTTCGATGGTAGTGTCCGTACAGTTCAAACTTTCTGGCGCGGACCATCTGATGGGTAAGGCTCGATCTCCTACTATATAATAGTCCTCGGGATATTTCTCTACACCGGTACCGTAATCACCTAACTTGGCCGATAAGTCTGGAGCAATCAGACAGTTTCTCGCGGAGAGATCCGTATGCGCGAAGCCATGACTATGCATATGTTTTAAACCAGATGCAATATCTATCGCAATTCGTATTGGAATATTTTCCTTGGCAAGTGCTTCTCTTGACTTGCTATCGCGGTTTGAAAGCAAGAAACCTTTTAAATCGCCAGCTGGACACGATTCAAACAGTAAAAGGTACGGATCGGTTTCTAGGCAAAACCCAAGTAAAGCTAAGACATTTTGGTGACGTAGTTTTAAGTACGGCGTGGCCTCGCCAAGAAACCAAGCCTTTTCTCTGGTAGTAGCTTCTTCGGTGAGAATTCTTACTACTACACCGCCTGATTTCGACATGCCTTTAGACTGTTCCAAATCTGCTCGACCTTCAACAACTTTTCCAAACCATCCATGACCTATTTCCCTAAGATATTTGAGTTTCTCTCGGGGAACATAAAGCTCGTTGGAGTTAAACCATTCGCTACATGGTTCTTGTAGAATAGAGTAATCCGTATCTTGATCCTCGATACGCGGTGCTGACAAAGGTATTGCTTTATGTTTTGGAACACTTCTAGTTCCGGATACGATTGAATCCACTGGTAAGGGTTCAAACTGAACCCTTTCGGAAGCGGCTAACGTTCTGGAGGCATCTAATTCCAATCCTTCGACAGAGCGATCGAATGCATTTTCTTGTCCTGTACTGCTCCCATCCTTGAATTCCTATAACGATATAACAGTATCGTTTTATATGCTTTTGCATAATTATAGCATGCTATGATACAGACATAAAGATTTCTTGCTAACTACGCATGCTACTTATAAACATATTTAAAAAGGAGTTAAAAACTTAGGGTGTTTCTAATAATTTAGAATTATAAAAGATATAATCAAATCATCTCTTTAAGATTAAAAGAGGTTATCATTAAATTATAAAGATCTAGCCCTACAGTAATATATGCACTATTTATATGTACTAACAGTACTAAACTCTATCTATAAGAACTTAAAAATATAATCTAAATAAGAAACAAATTTTGTCTTATTTAGGAATACATATAAAATATTATTGATGTGTATATATATATATATATATATATATATATATACATATATACACACACATATATATATAATAATTTATAGATACAGAATCTTCATAGATAGAATCTGTACCACTTTTAAGATTAGTCAAACTTTGTTTACATTCTTTTTAAAATTAATTTTGTTTACATTCTCGTTTTAAATGGTAATTTATGTGGCAACAGATAAGGGGCCTGCAACATCAATGTTACCTGATCGTATTTTTTTTCTGCTTTGTCCTATAATTAAAAAATGCAGAGATTGGTGTTAGAGTTCGAAAACAATGTAGAGTTCGAAAACGTTTCACTTTTTCTATGTTTCTTAGGTATGAAAACTTAAGTATAAAAATTTTCAAATTACCTGAAATCCTTTAGGTCTTCTATGTCTTTGGCAACAAAGACATCCAGCTAAAGTTAATGCTGTGGCGGTGACGCTCGACAGAGCAATCGCATAACGCATCCAATAATGTTCCCATTGCCAGGAAGCACGTCCTTGAGATGAATTATCTACGATAAGAACAAAGTTATTCAATGCTAACTCTAATATTTAGTATCGTTACTACAAAGCTGTATTTGTATTATTCTTTGTCGCTATACTGGACTATATTAAAACTTTCTATCTATACTTTTATCAAAGTTTAAATTTATGTTTCACTATTTCTTTTTTTAGTATAACAAGTTATATTAGTTTAGTCACAAAGAACAGATTTATATATGGAGGCTTTTCATTTAGTGGTACAAATATTTTTTCTTTCTTGGCATTCCATGAGTAACACAACAGTATCAACTTGTGTCAACTTGTCACAAATGGAAAGCATCCTATATTTTTGCTTGTCAATGCCACCAGCAGTTTATTTCTTTAACTTTGAAAAAATGAAAAAGGAGAAAAGCAACATTTAAACTTTCCTGTCTGTAGAACAGGGTACACATATGCACATATGTGATAGAGTTTAAGGAACAGCAGGTCAATTGACATTCGTGACAACGGCGTGTACTCGCGAACGACGTACCAGCGACAAGCGGTGACGGTACAGGATAGGCTGCGAGCATCGGTAGACCCACCCAAAACAGCCAGCACATCCGACGTACGTTCTGCATCGTATACCGAGATACAGTTTCTTATCATCCACGTTATGATTCGGCAACAAGCTGGCTTAGGTCATTCTCGTGTTCGCGTTGGCGGTGGCGGCGACAAGCCGCGACCGTAGAGACGGCAATTCGATAGTCGTCACAGACGTTACACAGGTCGACAACGCGCTCATAGTCTTCACCCCGTGTGCACCTTGCGCACCTTGCGCCTTCGTAGCGACAGTGCTGGCGAAAGGTAGCGAAACGTACGGCAAGGCCTATCCGAGCCGTGCATGACACGGGTACTCCCGTAGCGGCGTCGCGTCGCGTCGCGTCGCGTGACGTTGCGTCGTCGACGAGCTTTGATACTGGAACTACTGAAACTACTGGAAGAAGATCACTTTGCGCATCGTGTGAAAAGACATGCCTTTCTTCGGTTCCTTCTCCACGCCAGGCACTTCGCGCATCGTTCCCGTCTTTCCGAGCGGAAAAGTGCTCGCCTAGAGGGAGAAAGTGCCGACAGATATCTCTGTCTTCACGTGTCGATCGCACATTTACATGTCAATTTATGTACACGTCTGGAGGGCTTCTTCCTGCGATTTGTGTATGTTAAAAATTCATTTGACATTATTCTGCATTATTCCATGGAGTAGGAAACAATTGGGTGTAAAACATCTATCCAGGAGAGGGGATGTATGTATAGATGATTACGTGAAAAGGACACGAGAGTGTGATTAGCGATACGCCATGTTGTTGACACAGTTTCTGATGTTGAATGAAGAAAAAACATTGGTCATTGATGGTCAACAATATGACGCATTGTGTTTAAATTAGCGCATTCGGGTTTCTTGATGTCATGCGAAGTCTTGACGTCATTTCATATGAATGTTTTGTTGATTTGTTGTAATCCCACATTGTTAAAAATTAAATATTATTGATTAATTGAGAAAAACGCAAATTTAGTGCTTCATCATATAAATTAGTATTTTATTTTAGTCTAAAAATATGCTTCATGTAAAAATTGGTTAGTAAATGCTAGACGGATAATAATTGTTAAATTTGAGGAATGGAATGGATGCTGTGAATGGTTATTAAAAATTGCCATTTTTTAATTAAACTTTGAAACTTCAAATCAAGGGTTTTAAAATTTGCGTCAAAAAATTAATTCTATGTCATGCCGTTTGTGGCGTTGAGATCGAAGACGAGCCATATTCCTTCTATGTATAATACAGTTGCTGACTTTCTTCCCGTCATCTTGAAAAATCTCACACCAATTCGATAGTCGACACTCGACAGTCATGCTTCTTCCGGTTCTTCTCGCTATGTCCTGTGATTGATTCTACGCTATCACATCAAAGGATGCCGTCTACCGTGATCGGACGTGTTATTGCGTCATCATTTTTGGAAAGTGTGACCGGCTTCAAACGCGCAATTGAGGTTATGTTATTCTTTTAGACTTTCTATTCTTCATATTGTTTTTTGTTGCTCACCGCATTTTCGATCCTGATCGTATTGACTCTGTGTTAGAATCGAGGCCATTCTCACGCGAAGAAGCCTATGGTTGATTCTGCGCTACACACACGTGATAAGTATTATACATATAGCTTGATCTTTATTATCGAATTTTTTCTTAGTAATCCGCCGTGTCAGAATATGTATTTTACAATCATGACATATTCTAAATTATTAAATGTCTTCGCAATATAATATTATTTACAAATAACCATCTTTTATGATCTTTGCGTGCATACAATTTATCGTCTATACAAGGATACATATTCTGACATAAATGTGGTTTAGCTTTTTGAAATTCTTTCTTTTAATATATTACAATTTACATTATTTGCTTTTGATTGAAAAAAAATTTATTTTATTACATAAATGTTGAAAATGATGTGTAATCATCGAGATCTATGAATACCATGATTTGCATAATACTTATCCAACTGATTATTATTTAAGTCAACCTGAAAAAATAATTTTAATAGAAAATAACAAACTTTACTAATACAATTATTTTATTGTTTAGGTTGCTCGTAATTCACAAGTATAAAGCAGTATCTTGTGTGAGAGAAATGAAGGTATTCATATTTTTCCATATTATCTTAAATTTTAAATTATATTTTAAATTAAATGATGCTATTTACTATCACCAAGATCTATGAATGCTAATTAATTATGTGATTAGCCATGATATTCTAATTTGCTACTTCTGATATCATAAAGTTTAGCAAAATATATAAGATAGATAATATTGTTCAATAACTAATACAGAATTTATTTTGTTCAAGATTTGCTAAGTCTCTGAAATTTATAATGGCAACAACTCCAGGTAATTTTTATTTACTAGATAAATTTAATTTCTTCAATTATATATTTTATATATATTTGAAAAAAATATATATAAAAATGATAATTATCTACCAAGATCTATGAATGCTAATTAATTTCTAGTATTTATTAACCAATTATTTATATTAATCTGAAATTTATGTAAAAATATAGTATAACATATTAATATTAGAGAACAAAATTATTTCATGAAATATTATCTTTTTATTGTATTTTCTGAGAAGAAAATATTTAATTTCAAATCTTTAATCTTCTAATATCCTTCAAAATTTTTCAACGCTTTTATATCATTTATGAAATATCAATTGCAAAATTAAATTAAAAATGTTAATAAAATACTAAAGACAAAATGTATAAAATTAATATTTAAGATTTTATTTTCAAAAATTTGGAAAAATTTTAATAAAAAAGTGATAAATCTCTAAAATAACAGATTGCTTGTTTATCAGATAAATATGAAACCGGAATTTACCAATAGATGGCCATAGCTGTCAATGTAGTTGCCGTCAGACCGCGTCATTGACGCCATTTCCTTGTTGACATCTGACAAAGATTTTCAACTCACAACAATACAAATTTCATACAACAGCATAGTTTGTAATAGCGTTGAACATGTCGAATTTTGTGCCTAGAAACTACGATTTGCGGACAGCATTGATTTTCTGTTATCATTTGAAGAAAACTGCTGCAGAATCGCATCGAATGCTTGTCGAAGCTTACGGTGAGTATGCTCTTGGTAAAACACAGTGTTTTGAGTGGTTTAAAAAATTCAAAAGTGGCGATTTTGACGCGAGAAACGAAGAACGTGGAAAACCACCGAAAAAGTTTGAAGACAGCGAATTGCAAGCATTGTTGGATGAGGATGACGCTCAAACTCAACAACAACTCGCGGATCAATTGAATGTGACACGAGAAGCCGTCTCTATACGTTTGAAATCCATGGGAAAGATCCAGAAGATGGGAAAATGGGTTCCACATGAACTGAATGAAAGACAGCAGGAAAACCGAAAAACCATTTGCGAAATGCTGCTCGCCAGGTACAAAAGAAAGTCATTTCTCCATCGAATTGTGACTGGCGATAAAAAGTGGATATATTTTGAGAATCCTAAGCGTAAAAGATCATGGGTAACTCCAGGCGAACCATCGACATCGACTGCAAGGCCAAATCGCTATGGACGGAAGACAATGCTCTGTGTTTGGTGGGATCAGAAAGGTGTGATCTATTATGAGCTGCTAAAACCTAGCGAAATCGTTAATACTGAACTCTACCAACAACAAATGATCAATTTGAATCAAGCTTTGCGTGAAAAACGACCGGAATATCAAAAAAGGCAACACAAAGTGATTTTGCTTCATAATAATGCACCATCATACACAGCAAAACTGGTCAAGGAAACGATTGAGGCGTTTGATTGGGAAATACTTTCGCATGCGGCGTACTCATCAGACTTGGCTCCGTCCGATTATTACTTATTTGCATCGATGGAACACGCACTTGCTCAGCAGCGCTTCACTTCTTACGAAGATGTACGAAAATGGCTAGATGACTGGTTTGGCTCAAAAGAGCAACAATTTTTTTGGCGTGGCATCCACAAATTATCAGACAGGTGGGAAAAATGTATAGCTAGCGATGGGCAATACTTCGAATAAAATATTTTTTATCATTTTCATGCAATAAGCGTGTATTTTCTATAAAAAAATTCCGGTTTCATATTTACATACTTGGTAAGGGAGGCAGATGAGAAATAAAAAAAATCAAAACTCCATATTCCTTTTACTTATTATGAGATCAATATATTCCAATAATTATTTTTATTTGAATGTATAGGCTTAATATAGTTCTGTTACTTTATATTTTTCCATATCACCTTAAATTTTAAATTATAATTTAAATTAAATGATGCTATTTACTATCACCAAGATCTATGAAAAATCTTATGCTAATTAGTGCTGTAATTAGCCATGATATTTCAATTTGCTACTTCTGATAGCATAAAGTTTAGCAAAATACATATATAAGATAGATAATATTGCTCAATATTGCGATGGGCTCTGCTCCAAAAATGGCAAAATATTATTTAAAATAATGGAGCATATTTGATTTAAATAAATTGATTTTAATACTTTAAGGAAAACACTTGAATTTTACTAAAAAACCGCCACGAATTTTTTCACACAGAAATTAAATTTATTATATAAATTTAATTTCTTTAATTATATATTTTATAATATGTATTTGAAAATGATAATTATCTACCAAAATATATGAATGCTAATTAATTTCTCTAGTATTTACTAACTGATTATATTAATCTGAAATTATGTAAAAATATAGTAACATATTAATACTAAAGAACAAAATTATTTCATGAGTTATTATATATTTCTGAGAAGAAAATATTTAGTTTCAAATCTTTAATCTTCTAAAGTATCTGTATTCAATAATTTTTCAACGTTTTTATATCATCTATGAAATAATATCGATTACAAAATTAAATTACAAATGTTAATAAAATACTAAAGATAAAATATATGAAATTAGTACCTAAGATATTTTCATGGAAAAATTTTAATAAAATGATGAATATCTAAAGTATCAGATTGCCGGGGGCGGATGAGAAATAAGAAAAATCAGCTATTCTTTTTACTTATTATGAAATCAATATATTTCAATAATTTTTATTGAATGTATAGTTT